AGAGAGAAAGAAAGAAAGAAAGAAAGAAAGAAAGAAAGAGAGAGAAAAGAGAACGAAAACAACTAAAACAGTGCCTTGGCTTCTCTATTAGAGCCAGTCCTCAGTGTTCAAACATCCTAATTTAGCTTAGACAAAATAGCCCACATTCCATTTCTAAAGAGACTGCCTTCCTCCCCACCCCCCCACCCCGTTTCCGTAACTCTTCCTTGCCCACCCCCAGTCTTGTGTCTCCCTTCTTCCAAGCTGTCTTACCATGTTTCCCCATCAAAACTCCTTACCTACAACTTCCTTTAATTGGGAATCTTAAAGGAGGCAAGCTCTTTGCAATTTAAAGGAAACCCCTTAGAGAAGCCTGCGGGTGGCAAGGACACCCTGGAGGCTAGAAGGCTCCAAGGCCAAGTTCCTGAGTCGGCTGGCTTACAAGGGCTAACTTCCTTCAGGATCTAATCCCTTCTGCGCAGCTGGACACGGGAAAGCAACCCCCCCTTCATGGAGTAAAAGCCCGGGCACTTTGAAAGTACCCTTTCTACCCAGATCCGCGAGACGTCGCGGGTGCGAAGGCGGGGCCACTAGACTGGCGACACCCTCCTGAAAATGTCCAGCCCCGCCTTCCCACCACCACCTTTGGGACTTGGTTCGTGAAGCAAGATCGCCCTCTCTGTGAAAGGCAGATGTCCCTTTAAGGTTTGCTTTGCTGCTGCCCGTGGACTTTAGCCTAAACACGGTCCCGCGAAGTTGGCTTTATTTGTCCATGTTTCGGACAGAGCCTGGGTGACTGCCAGTGAGATTTCAGAGACCGAGCGCGCAAAGGGGCGGGAGAAGTGGCAATCCATCTGGGATTTGAGAAGCGTGGAGCGGGCTTAACAGCGTTTGACCAAAACACAGGAAATCATTTCTCCGCTGCTCCAAGGCGCTGCAGCCGCTGTAACCACGGCCGGACACCCGCGGAGACCGCCCAAGTGACCCAGAGCTCCAGCGCTCGGGTTCTGCCTGTTCCTGCCAGCTTCTGCCCACGAACCAGCACGTCGCTGGTTCCAGCAGCCGCTCCAGCAATGGTCCTCAGGCGCCCTGCCGGCCTAGAGGTCACTGTAGCCTGCATCTGGCTTCTCACGGGTGAGCGACCCTGCTTTCCTGAGCATCTCCGGTGGGGTTTGGGGCTCGGGGTCACACACATAGCAGAGGGGCAAACCAGACGGGCTGTCAGGTAGACCGGTCAATTCAAAGGACTGAAGGGAGCAGGAGGCATGAGAACTTTCCCCAAGTACAGGTGGCGTTTCAAATTAAAGTTGTTTTTACGTTGCGCGTTGTGTTTTAGGCAAGGGAGAGTAACCGGAGGGCGTCTGGTTAGTGCGCAAAGTTCCTGCCCTAGGGTTGCTCAGAAGTGGACTTTATAGCATTTTCTTTCTGTTTAATATTTAGGACCTTTTCTGCCAAAGAATAAGGAAAGACAGGCATGCGAGACAAATCCACTTCTTGTCCCAATATGGCATTTCTACATTAGTTCCTAAGAGACGAAACATTTTGAAATTGAATGTTTGGCACCTAAATATCACAGTGCTGTTTTTCAAACACAAATGTATTTTTAAGAAGGCGCAGTACCCTAGAAATGCAGTGTTCTATTCAACTGAGAGAAATGTGGGGGCATTTAGGATTTTCCTAACAGTAGCCTTTATTGTAAGTACCAATTGGGGAGGGAAAACTGAGCTGGTGTCCAAGTGAAAGGGTAGAAGATTTAAGCACAAATTATCACTTCATTACTCCTTAAATGAGTGGTTGTCTTTAACAGGACATGACATTCAATTGCCTGATGCTTTCATTGTTGGGATGCTTAACTAGTTAATTTCACATTTAACTATTACATAGGGCCAGTTAACCCAGCAGCGGATGGCTAAGCACTGAGAACTGTTATGTTCACTTACAAATGGATTTTTACCAAGTCCATCCTCTTTCATAGTGAAGTGGTAGTTAACGAACTACAGGCTTTTCATCCAAACATTTCCCATTCCTCAGGAAGTGTCCAGAAAGCCAAACAGTGGTGACTTTGGAACAGCATTATAGGCCAGGGAGTGTTTTCAACCTACCAGCTCTTTCATTGACCCTTGATGCAAGCTTTCCTTCCAACCCAGACTTTCAGAGATTGTATCTTGATGTTTTGCAAAATCTGAATTGTTAACTAATTACTCAAACTGTATCTCTTTTTTCCCTCCCATTTGACCAAACATTCAGTCAGTGTGGAAATGTGTTCTCTACATGGAGGGGTGGGGATGAGTCAGTTACAGTTTCACGGATACGTTGGTATGATATGCCTTGCTGAATCCAAGATGAGAGTTGAAGAGGCAGATCGGCAGGCATTTCTAAAGTGTGCTCCATTTTTCAGTGTACACTGTTTAGAACATTATTGACACATGGAGAACAGGTTCCTTCTATTTAGTGTATTTATGTCCATTCCACGAGACACAAGACATTAAGGATCCCTGGTCTGACTTTTTCCTTATCAATTGCTCATACTTGGAAACCTCTTACTGATTCATGAACTCAGCTGTTCATCTGGAGTCTTACAGACATAGCCGTTTAGGAGTGATGCTATAGAGCTTAAATTGTCCCTCTATCCCACCTACCAAGCATGACATTTTTCTTGTGTCTACTTGAAGTCAATCATCTGGAATAGTTCATGATTGCCTCTCAGATAAAAATCCAAAGTTCTCAACAGACTGTCCAAATCCAGGACCCTGTATCTACTTCTTTTTGCTGCTGCAATAAGTTGTCATTCATTTATTGGCTTAAAACAATAAGTATTGTTTTGGTATTTACTGCTTTATAGTTCTATAGGTTTTAAGTCACACTGTGATAAAAATCATGGGCCCCCCCAGGGCGTTTCCTTCCACTTCCTGTGGCCCCTTGCAAAACTTGTAGTGCAATTTTTCAGTCTTCCTCTCTGGCTCCGACTCATGGTCACATCTTCTCCAAGTCTCCTGCCCTGGGTCCCTGCGTTTATCTGGTACCTCTGTCCAAATCCCCATTCAATTCTCTCTGCCAAGTCCGCTTTCGAATCTAAGATAATATACTCAGCTTTCATGGATTAGGGCAAGGGCATCTTCGGTGGTTCCACACTGTTATTCTGCCAACCACAATCCATAAACAGAACACCCATCACATCCAGCATCATTTCTGTACATTCCTCGTAATCCTCTTGCTTTTCTTGCCACTGTGGATATGATCTTGTTTGATGCCTCTACAAAAGAGCTCCACCCTTCCTTCCCACTAACCCCTACCTTCTAAAGAAACTCTGTCCAGCTTTCAATGCTGTGCGTATTTCATAACAAACCACCAGCATTACAATAAACTTCCCAAGGATTTTACAACTCCTTGTGTTAGTTTCTCCCAACATATATAATTTGCCAAGAAGAAAGGTTCCTCCCTTCAACATTCAAATACAGTCTTTGTCATTGGTTTAGACAGGTCAATGTCCTGGATTAAGATATGATACACACAGAGAATTCATCTGAAAGTAGTTTTGTAAACAGACACCCTGGAGGTGGCCTTAGGGGAGCCAATATTGGTAGAGCACATGGGATAAAGAACAGTAGATAGAAATCACAGGAAGCCATAGTGGGAGAAGAGGTCATGATTGCTCATAGACCTTGAGGAACCTGATTACCGGAAGAAGGCTACTGTATCTACGTATGAGGACAGGTAGACTGCAGCTGAGTCAGTGCTGATGTTCAGCCAAGACGGAAGAGAGGGAATATATACCTTCCCCTGTAATACCACGTCCATTGCTGTCATTGGAAACATCCAACGGTTAGATTCAGCCTTCCACACAGATGATTATTATAAGTAGCACAGATTAATACTGGAACTTATTATATGATAGGCTCTGGGCCAAGAATTTTGTAACATTTTATCTCTAATTTTAAAAAGTAAAAGCTTATACATCTTCCATAATTTGAAGAAGAAAAATAATGAAAAACACAAAGTACGAAGATATTTTTTTTCCATTTGTCCACAGTCTCACAGCTAGTAAATGACAAATTACTTTGAATCACACCTCTGACCTCAAGTTTCCTGCTGTGAAACAAGCCTAATTTGTACAAGCTTATTTCCCTGTATCGCTCAACCTCGTGGGTAAAATGCAAGCAAGAAAGGCTAAATTACTTCGATAAGGATACATATATAGTTAATAAAGACGTTATTTCCATGATTGTTAGGTATATAGTGAAATTAGATGATAGTGCACTCTATCATCTCAGTGAATTAATAACAGGATCTACATATGGCCCCTGTTGAGCTGTATATTGTTCTTCTGTAGAATCTTGCCTAGATGCATAAGTCACCTTTCAAGGCTTTTCCACAGCCAGAATTTCCTATACAAAGTGAACTCCAGTGAGGAGATGGCTGAGCATGGGGAGACAGTCATTGATCCGATCAATAAGTGAATTCCAATGGCAGCCATGTATTAGGAGTTATGATGGGGGGTTGCCTTACTCATTATATGTTTATACAGTGATGAATCCATTGGGATTTATTTGCTTAGTTAGAAAGCAAGAAGAATAACACACACACACACACACACACACACACACACACACACACACATATTAGCTGTTTTGTTCTATGTGGTCTTGAAGCTAATACTGATGGTTAATATTAAGGCTACATTTTCAAGAGATGATTAGATCATGTAGGCTCTAATGTAGTGGTTTAATCTACTGATGGATATAAAATTTGAACAGACTATTGAGAGGTGGTGGAATTTGCTGTGTGGATAGAGGATACATACCTAGAGAGGTGCCCTTGGGAATTGTATCTTGCCTACTTCTGCTTTATGTCCACCATCATGTGAACTGCTGTTCTAAACTGCTGTTCTACCATGACCTGGCTGTGGACTGATACCTCTGTAACTCTGAGCCAAAATAAACAAGTCGTTCTTTAAGTTGTCTCCGTTAGGTGTTTCGTCCCAGGAAGCAGAAAGGCAAAAATATGTAGTAGTCATCTAACTGCACATGTCTGAGCTCTGGAGTCCGATTGCTGCTGACTTTTGCTGTATGTAGATATGGATGCTCCCCTGTCTCTCTTCCTCTACCCCCAACCCCTAACATTTCCCACTGAGATTTGTAACTGGCTGAATTGTCATAGGCCCCTTAAACTATTTTAATAGAATCAGTAAGTTGTTTGATGCATTTTCTGAGAGTTAGGATCCAAACACTATTCTCAACAGCTCTTCTGATACAGGAGACACAAAATAGTGTGTTTACATTCATGCTAAGCAACTGGGGTGAAAGCTATTGTGGAATCACGGTCATGGCACTAAAGTCAGAATAGATTGCCTATTTGGGGCTCTCCATGACTAGAGAATTGTATCCATTCTCAAACTGTGCACAGCAAAGTGTCAAGAGATGCAAATGAGATGAACATATTCCTTTCCTCTAGAGTTCTGAACTTCAAAACGCTCTATTGTGTCAACCCTTCTGAAGTTGCCTCTGGGCCTTGACGTAAGCAGTTACTCCTCTGGGCCTTGACGTAAGCAGTTCCTCCCAGCACTATAGAGCCTTAACTCCCACACAAATGTGATTCCCAAGGGAGTCAATGAGTTGGACTAGTTGTCCTTCCCCAGACACCAGAATGTCCCTAGTGCCCTTGTTTCTATAAAACAGCCCACCATATGAGGCAATGATGAAGTATGTAGCTGTCTCCCTTCCAGCATGCTGTGTGCTCTGTGAGGCCTGTGTATTTCTTTTAATTATCCTTAGTACTTAAGAACAATTGATACTTTTTATTGAAAACACTATGAAATAATGGACTGTAGACAAACTTATAAACTACTTAAAAGGTTAGCCTATCCTTTAAATATATTCTTGCCTATATTTCAATCTGACTGAATAGATGATTCCACTGTTGGGTCTCAATATTGAGGACAAATGGTTAACTAAGGTGTCTATTTAACAGATTAAAGTGGACCTGGCCCCTAGGTTCTCCCAGCATGCCTCAGTTCTCTACCTGTCACAGGATGTGGCTACTATACCTCACTCCCTACCCTAAACCCAGAAGCTGGGCTGCCCTTCCCCCAATTGCCTTCCCCTCTATAATCTAGCCATTTTCGATCCCTGGTCCTT